ACATCCCACCAACTTTGATTCTCATAACTCCTCAGTCTGATGGAAACCAAGTCTCTAGTGATCATAAAAGACATCTAATTTGCCAGGTAGCATGGAATGGTGTATGGTGTGTCTTGGGCTATAAGTTGGTCCTTATGAGTACTTTGAGTAGATCCAGCATTCATTATATTACGACTATCAATAACTGTTACATCTCAACCTCATGTTCCAAAAGAAATCCACGTCTGTGAACAGTAATCCGTGGGAAGACTACCTGGATAGCATTAATTACTTCCATTGATTTAGGAATAATTGTATTCTCATTATTATAGAGTTATTTGTTTGCTTATCAATACACCTTGTATAGATTGTATAATAAAATTCAAACTTTTCTCTCTCAAATTCTTAGTTTTAACATGGTATTAGAGCCAACGACCTTAATTGCCGTTGGAGAACGATCTTAGATCGTCGAAAGAGGAAGAGAAGAAGAAGAAGCTTGGACTTGATCGTGCCGACCCGGACGGGATTAGACGGAGTCGAAGCTTCAATCGGAACTTCCGATCCAAGAGGAAGGCCAAAGTCATCGAGACTCCCGCTAAGAGCCGAACGTCCGAGCGTATCCGGAGAAGGAGCATCTTCGGCTGTCTTCTCCCGAGCTGACGGACGAAGAAGCGGACGGCGGACGGCGAGCACCCCGATCCGACAGGGAGGGAAGATCGTCGAAGGAGCACCCCGCTCGATCCTCACTTCAGATCGCACGACCAGTCGAAGCTGATCGGAAGCTCGATCCACGTGTGTGATTCGCGGGAGAAAGCCGCGCCTGAGTGTGACTTGCGCCCTTGCCCTAGTCCAATCCGAGCCTCTTTAAGGCTCCACCGATTCTTTTTGTGTTTTTGTAACTCAAAAAAAAAAAAAATCGACCTTTATTGTCCATTAGAAAAAATCTTGAGAGCCTTCATTGCTGTCCAAAAATCAAATTGATAGTTTTCATTACTATCAAAAATGTCAGAAATCAACTCCTCTTCAAACACTGACCAACTTGAGGATTCTGTGATGCACCAAGGTCGAGGTGACCTTCAAAGCATGCAACCTTCCTATCGTCTAAATGAGAAGAACTACCTAAAGTGGTCTCAATTTGTGAAGACCTACTTGAAGGGGAAAGGGTAAATACATCACCTCCTTGGAGGAGGACCAAAAGAAGGAGATCATATTTTTGGGGCATGGGATGAAGCAGACTCCATGATTATGTCATGGTTGTGGAATTCCATGACTCCAGAAATTAGTGATACATTTATGTTCCTTTCAACTGCAAAGGACATATGGGATGCTGCCAGACAAACCTACTCCAAAGCTCGTGATGCGGCCCAAATCTTTGAAGTTAAAGTCAAAGTTGGAAGCACGAAGCAGGGGAATAAGACCGTGATGGAGTTTGCTACCATTATACAAAATCTGTGGCAGGAACTTGATCATTATAGGTGCATTGAAACCAGATGTCCGGAGGATGCTGCGATCTTAAAGAACTTTATTGAAAAAGATAGTTTATGATTTTTCTTGCAGGACTAAATGCATAATTGACCAAGTTAGGGTTCCAAATTCTTGGGCAAGGAGAGAGCCATCACCAATGAACCATTTTCCTCATCAGCGAGAAGAAAGCCGACGAGGGAGTGATGTTAGAACCGAAGGCAGTTGAAAGCTCAGCAATGGATGAACAACAGAATCGTCATGGAAGGAGAAGGGTAAAGATTCTTCAAAGTTCAAGATGAGACTCACTTTGGCTGCAGCTGATTGCAAAAATTCAAGACACACAAAGGAAATGTGCTGGAAAATTAACATGGAAAAACGCCTCCAACAAGGAGTGGAATCAAAGGGTGAAACAAGGAGCACATCACATGCTAACCACACTACAAGTAAGCCAGAGCAAGTCAAACATGGAGAATACAATAAAGAAAGATATTGAAAATTAAAATGACTCCTGGTATCTCTTGAAAACCAAATGCTTCTTCTTCACGTTGCCTATCAAGGTAAGACTCTTAATGTCCTTTTAGTTTAAGTGCTTCCAGAAAATCATCCTAAAGGAATTATGGTTAATTTGATTCAGGAGCCACATTCACAATGACCACACTCACCTACCCACCTCCATAAAAACCCCC